GCACAGGAGAGGAAGACCCTGGATGAAATGAAATGGATGAAAGTGACTGGGACAATGCGGGGGGCAGGGGGGGGGTTGGTCTGTCAGAAGTGAGACTGGCTCAGGACGGGGAAGGGTTCAGAGCTGCTGTACATAAGGTTGCTATGCATCTTAGGCAACTCAACCCATAACATTCTATGGCAGGTTTGGAAGCAGGAGTGGCATCCACTTCCTAAACAACATGCCTCCAGAAACTCTGTGAACTTTAATAAATGTCCATAGTTGTAGAGGAGCTTCAGGCCTTTTGTTCATAGGGTTGCTATGAGTTGTGCTTGACACAAAGGCAATCAACAACAACAACATGTTGCCTTGTCTAAAAAGATATACTCCTACATCGGTGTAGCTATATTTGAAAGTAGCTTAGCTGTCCTCCAAAGAGTAAAAAACATAGAGATACAATATATCAGCTTTTCATTCCTAGGAATAGGAATAGATGCAAGAATTGAAACTGTGTCCACACAAAATCCTGAAAACAAATATTTATAAGAGCATTATTAATGATGCCAAACAAGGGGAAAGGTGCAATGTGCATCAACTGATAAATGAAAAAGTGGGCTATTTCCATACAAAAGAATACTGTTGTTAGGTGCTCTTGAGTTGAGTACGATTCATAACTACCCAATGAACAACGGTCTTGAATCCTGTCCTGTGCCATCCTCATAATCTCTGGCACACTTGAGCACTTTGCTGCAGTCATTATGTCAATACATCTTGTTGAGGGTTTTCCTCTCTTTTGCTGACCTTCCCAGGAATGATCTCTTTCCAGTGAATAACCTCTCTTAAAACATGTTCTACGTATGAAAGACAAAGCTTCACCATGTTTCCTTCAAGGAGCACTCTGGCTGTACTCTTTACGAGACATAACTGTTCATTATTTTGACAGTTCATGGGATATTCAGTACTCTTATGCCATAATTTCTTCTTCTGTCATTCTTATTCATTGTCCAGGTCTCATATGCATAGCAAGAGACTGAAAAGAGCATGGCCTGAATCAAGCCCACCTTAGCCTTCAAACTGACACCACTGCTCCCCTGTAATTTGGAGAGATCCCTAGCAGTGGACTTGCCGTAAGAAATCATCTCCTGATCTCCTGACTATTGGTTCCAAGAGTGTGGACTGTAGATCCAAGTAGTATGAAATCATTGACAGTTTCAATCCTTTCTCCATTCATCTTAATATTGTCTGCTGACCTAGTTGTAAGGCTCTTTGTTTTCTTGATGTCGAGATATAATTCATATTGAAGGAGGTAGCCTTTGATCTTCCACAGCAAGTGTTTCCCCACATTAAGCAAGCCAGGTTAATAATCATAATGCACATTGTTGATGAGTCTTTCTCCAATCCTGATGCCACAGTCTTCTTCCTAAAGTCCAGCTTCCTGAATTATTTGCTCAACATACAGATTGGATAGGAATGGAGAAAGGATACAGTCCAGATGCACACCCTTCTTGATTTTGAATCATGCAGCATTACCTTGTTCCATTTGGACAACAGCTTCTTCATCAAAGTAACGATTTCATATGAGCCAGATTAAGTGTTCTGGGATTTCCAATGTTAGCCAAAGTTTGTTGTAAATTATACTGCCTTTGCATAGTTAATAAAACAAAGAGAGACATTCTTCTGGTATTCTCTGCTTCCAGCCAGGATCCATCTGACATCAGCAACTATATCCCTGGTGCCATAGCTTCTTCTAAACCCGACTTGAACTTCTGGCAGTTCCCTGTCAGTGTACTGTTCCAGCCATTTTTTTTTTTTTTACCTTCACCAGTATTTGCTTGTATGTACTATTAATTATATTGTTCAATAATTTCCAGGTTCTATTGGATCTTTTTTCTTAGGAATGGGAACAAATACAGATCGCTTCCAGTCAGTTGGCCAGGTAGCTATCCTACAGATTTCTTGGCATAGACTGGTGAGCACATCCAGCTTTGCATCTGTTAGTTGAAACATGTCATTTGGTAACCCGTCTATTTCTGAGGCCTTCTTCTTAGCCAGTGCCTTCAATGCAGCTTGAGCTTCTTCTTTTGTTACCATTGGCTCTTGTTCATGTGGTTCTTCTTGAAATATTTCAGTGTTGATTTTAAGTACAATGAGTCTGCATATTCCTTTCATCTTCTTTTGATGCTTTCTGGATCATTCAAGATATTCCTATAGTATCTCTCATATTGAAACACGAGACTTGAATTTGTTTTATAGTCTTTTCATCTTGTGAAATGCCGAGTGAGTTCTTCCTTTTTCATTCTCTAATTCTAGCTCTTTTGCCATTCTGTTATAATATTTTGTTTTCTAGTTGTTTTAATGCTTTGTCTGCTAGAACTGTCTTTTGAAATCTATTATTCAGCTCTTTCAATTTGGTGTCTCTTCCCTTTATTTTGGCTTCTCAACAGTCTAATAAAATTTCAGAATATCTTCTGACATCCTTTCCCCCCTTGGCATTAGTTTTTATTTTTCCTTTCTTTTCTGTCTTTGTAATGACATTTTGCATGTTTGTTGTTGGATTTTAAAGCTTGCAAGTGATCTTCAAGGTAAAACTATACGTTTCTATTTACCAAAAGCAACAGAGTAAGGAGAGTCAGGAGTAGAAGGATATGAACCCTGTCCTATCCTGTGCCATCCTCATTTCTGAAACACTTGAGCCAATTTCTGTGTCAAACCAATTTGCTGATGATATTTTTCTCTTTCGCTGACCCTCCACCTTTCCAAGAATGATGACCCCTTACAAGGAATAGCCTCTCCTAGCAAGGTGCCCAAAGATGTGAGACAAGGCTCTGTCATCCTTGCCTCCAAGGAGCACTCTGACTACACTTTTTGCAATACATACCTATTTGGGTTTTTTGTAGTCCATGGTATATTCAATACTCTTCTCCAACACCACAGCTCAAAGGCTTCAATTTTTTTCTTTTGTCATCCTTTTTCATTTTCCAGATCTCAGATGTATACCAAGTGATTGAAAAAGACCATAGCCTGAATCAGATGCACCTCAGTCTTGTTCCTCAGTAATTTGGAAAGGTCTCAGACAGCAGACTTGCTAATGCAATACTAATGGTGCTGATTGTGGATCCAAGTAAGATTAAATAGTTGACAACTTCGAGCTTTTCTCCATCTATCACGATATTGTTTATCAGTTCAGTGGTGAGGAATTTTGTCTTCTTGATGTTGAGATGTAATCTATATTAAGTTAAAGGCTGGTGATCTTCTACAGTCCTCACTTTCAACAAGCAAGTTTGTATCATACATATGACGAAAGTCCTTGATGACTCTTCCTTCTTCTGATCCCAGTTCGACATTCTTCTTCCTTGACTCCAGCTTCTCAAATGATTTGTTTAATGTCCACTTTGAATAGGTGTGGAAAAGGGCCACACACTTGATGCATACTTTTTCTGATTTTAAACCATGAGTGTTCATTTGCCATGAGTCATCCTCAACTTGATGGCACCTAACAACAATAACATAAGTTCTGACATGAGGGTACACAACAACAACATATTTTAATATCATTAACCCTCACATTTAATCCATTAAATTCATGAGCTTGAGTGTTTCAGAGATTGTGAGGATGGCACAAGACAAGGGTTCACATCTGTTGTTCATAGGGTTGCTATTAATTATACTCAGTTTGGTGGCACCCATCAATAATCTTCATGAAGATTAGGGAGCTCTGGTGGCCTAGTGAGTAAGAAGACACACTATTTTAATTCACCAGTTGTTCTGTGGGAGAAATAAAGGCAAACCCTTTCAATAGGCTTTACTACTGCCTCTGAAAACCCACTAGCGGGTCAGCTATATGAGTCAGTGCAGACAACAACCTTCATAATTACTTCCTGAGGTTAGTACTTTCAGTGTCGATTCTACAGACGAATTTACTGTAAAAAGAACGACGACTTGACAGTAATAGGCAGAGTCTGTAGATTTTGTAGGCATTTAGGATTATGTGAAGCTCATGGTTTGCTGATCCTGCTCAGGGAACCAAGAATGACTTCAAAGCTGGAAAGAAAAAGAAGATGGGCCCTGCATACTCCCACACGGGTGGGAAACGCTGGGAGGGCATTGCAGGTGAAGTTGTAAGAGCAGAGGTGGAAAAGTGTTAACATTTGTTAATTTCTGTACTTTTCCACATCTCAGAAATAATTAATAATTAACACAAATTTACAATCTCTAACTTCGATGTCACGAAAACAAAGAGAATCCTTCCCCCCCCCCCCTTAATCTTTGACATTCTCCTATTTAAAGAGTGATGACATTCCGGTTTTGTCTATTGTTTCCAAAGCCAACTTTATGCAGTATTTTATGACTTGGGAGGTTTTTCCATAAACAATCTAAATCCTGCTATAGTTGCCCAATAATCTGGAAAAGAAATATCCCAAGATTTATTTCTCCATTCCTCCGTTGTTGTTAGCCGCAGACCAGTCGTCATAATTCATGGCGCTATCAAGCACAACAGATTGGAAGTTGGAAATCCAACCCCTGAACCAGCAAGGCACACCATGTCTCAATTAGTTACGCATTGCCGTTATAAGTACTGTGAGAGTCTTAGTCTGAAACCGACACTAGGAAGCAGAATTACTCAAATTACAAACAAATCTGTTTGGCGGTTTTTTCCAAATGAATCCTCAACTAGGAGACCCCGGGCCTAGAACCCGCGGCGCGGACACCACGCACGCGCATGCGCACGCACGCACTGGCGACTCCAGAGGCCTGCGGATTAAGTGGGAGGTTTCCGTGACCTACTACACTCCCAGCATGCGCTCCGGCCCCTTTCATTGAGAACCTCTTCATGATCACGTGAAAGAGGCATGGCAGACGCCTGACGTCACGAAGCTCGGGCCAATGGGAGCCTCTGTTTACGGACGGGTCCTCGGGATGGCCTCAGAGCCCCGCCCCCCTGCCTCTGCGGCGCCGTGCTGGGGGGGGTCGGGCGGTGAGCGCGGAGCTGGAGGCGGAGCCGGCGCAGCAGCAGCGCCTCGTCGAGGGCCGGGCTTGGTGGCTTTCTGCAGCCCTCAGCGTCCCGGGGGGTCCGCTCTGCGTCTCCAGTCCCGGGACCGAAGCCGCCGGCCGTCTGGGACGGCCTCGTTCGCGCGCCGCCTCGAAGCCTGGAGGACATGCGGGAGAGAGAATGAGCCAGAGGGACACGTTGGTGCATCTGTTTGCCGGGGGGTACGGCCTGGGACAGGGCTGCTGGAGGACGAGGGGACGGGCGGCGCCCCGAAATCCGAGGGCTCGATCCCCTGCTGGGTGTGTTCGTGGCCGGGCCCAGGCTGAAAGGGGGCCCGAGCCCGGGGCGAGGGGAGCCGGAAGAGGGAGCCCCCAGGGTCGTGGGGAGGCGGCGGCCTAGCTGGGCCGCGGGGATGCGGGGAGCGCGGCGCCAGGCCGGCCTCGCGGAGCCTGCGTTGGCTCGAGGGCCGGGGAGGCGGGCGGTGCGGAGGCCGCGGACAAGATGGGCGCCGGGGCCC